CTTTAAAGCTCTAACTGAAAGAGCTCAGGTCTGATTGTTTACATGAAAAAAGTTGCTCCATAAGTCTGCAAAGCCTGGATGCTTATGGGTAAATAAAGCATCCCAGCTGTTTTCATGTTTTAAAGAGCGTCCTCTCTGTCATGTGGGAAGTTTTCACGTGTTTTTTAATTGTCTGTGAAAATCAATCTGCCTAATCTCCAGCCTTTGTTGAGCCAACAGGCTATGACTTCTGAATAGAGATGATAAACACTGCAGTCATTTTACTGAGCGTGGGAGACAGATGCTTTTCAGGATGAAATGCTGGATTTAGCTGCTGCTGAGAGGGACCAAAGGGAACGAAGGGGGCACGTAGAAACAGACTCCGGCTGCTCAAAGCAGCTGTTTGATTTAGTGTTCAGGCTTTGGTTCGATATAATCTAATCTTTTTAGTCATTGTTCAGGTGTGAGGTTGGACTATGGTTTCTGATTTTGGTTTCTGTGGTGGAAACCGAGCTTTAATGGATCATAAAGATGAAACTACTGGGATCAAACAGAATCCCTTTATGATATTTTTGAGTCAGGGTCTGGTCTTTTTTTTTTTATGTACTTTTAAAATGTTACCAAGAGCACATTCTCTTCCCTATAGAACATGTTTTATCCGTTTGTCTGAATCCATTGTAGAATTTTTTTCTGGATGCTTTTATTTAGCAAAATGAATCAGTTTAGCGGTGAGATTCCTGGACGTCTTAAGCAAAGTAAAGCCTTTCTATTTTTGGATTTCCGCCTCTGTTACCTGTGAACACTCCATTAAAACTACATAACTCACCTCTGCCTCCCTGCCTCTGCATTTGGGTCCACAAAACCTCAACCAAACCCTGACAATTCTGAATCTTTATATTTTCTTTGTTATTTATTGCCGGTGTTCTGTCAGATGAGCTTACCCGGTCAGACCAGCATACCTATAGTCAATACACATGCGCAAGACATCAGATTTGCGTTTATCCCTTCTTTTTGTACAAAAAATAGACTTTAAACTACCTCGACGGGCATGTATCCCTTTAGTCATGTACAAAAAAACTGTTTATGGTCAAAAAACAACTAAAAGTAAGTCATTAAATCGTTTTTTTGTACATGACTTAAGGGATACTCACCCGTTGAGATAGTTTAAAGTCTATACAAAACTAAAGGGGATAAATTAAGGGATAAATGAGTGCTGAATATGTGTATGCTGGTCTGACTGGGTATGCTCATCTGACAGAACACCAGCTTTAGGTTCATGTCACCATTCTGAGTGGGCGACAGTGGCGTTGGGTGCAGGAGTTTGCCCTGCAATCGGAGTGTCGTCTGTTCATGCCTCGGTTCTGGCTTTCAGTGTCATTGTATCCTTGTGCAAGACTCTTCACCTGCATTGCCTACTGATGGTGGTCAGAGGTAGCCTGGGTGCCATTCCGAACTTAGTCCCGCCCACAAGGTTTGAGTTCAGGAAGTTTGGTCTGGCATTGCTCAATATTAGCGCGAGTATGCTAGCACAAAATCTGGCGGGCCAATTAAATTGTCAGGGCGGGCTTTATACGATGATGGACAGATGATCAACAGTAACGTAATCAACCACGTCACCAAAGCGCGCTTGGGTGACAACAACAATGGCTGCCGCTGGAGAGTTGAGGTGAGTAGATTCTGCTATTAGGTCTGTTCTAGAAGATATCAACAGCAAATTAATTTTAAAAGAGGAACAGAGAAACGCGATCAAGGCTCATCTTCTTATTATAGGCGTGCAACTGCACGCTTTGATTTTTGTTGACAACAACTATGCGTGGCTTAACATACGTCACGCACTCCGTTGCTCTTATTGGTTGTAGGTCTATCCAATCGAGTGCAGAGGCATTTTTTTTCCTGGTTCGTTCGAAACACGCCCCATAATCACAGCTCTATGGAGCAGAATCAGACTCATTCTGACTAGAACTGAGTAGGACTACGTCAGGCTAGGTCAGAGGTGCCAGTGTACGGCAACCTCGTTTCTGTGTGTGAGCCCCAGGGCAGCTGTGGCTACAATGTAGCTTGCCACCATCAGCGTATGGGTGAATGTAGTGTAGTGGCTTTTGGTCAAATCTTCTGCCTTGAAAAAACACTTTATAAGTAGAGGCCATTTACCATTCCCCCTGTTCTTGATTTAAAATAAGGACTGATCTGTTTATCTGTTTATTGCTATTAAAAAAAAAACTATATCTACCCATTCTGGTGTAAGAATCTGTTAAATTCTCTGCCTGCAAACCTAAAATTTATTTGTTCATCTTGTCCTTAGAAATTAGATGTACCAACCTGGCCCCCAAGCAGTCAGGTTTCCTCGTCTTTCTGCCTTAAAGACATTAGTCGTCTTTGACCTTGTCTTTCTAGTGCAGCAGATTAGATCAAACAGCTAATTTATATTCCCTGTCGTGACGCCTGACTTGTTTTCTACAAAGCTTGGACCACACCAATCACAAACACACACACGGTTTAGTCTCTGTTGTTACTGAAATCAAAGTCGAAATCAAACATATAAAGATGTAAGCAGTGAAAATTAACCTAAGAAATAAAACAAACCAAGTTTTATTCCCTTCAGCATGTAAACATTGAGACTTTGAGAAAGCTGCCATATGTCTGATCATGCTGTGATTTTTTTCCTGAAATCCTTGTTTTTACATGAAGGGAGAATCAAATGGAAAAATAAATAAATAAATGTTCCAAAAAACAGTGTGAGCAAAAGGCCTCAGCACCCCATCTCAACAGCCTGCCCACTGCATCACTTTGCTCCCCATTCTAGGTATATGGCTCCCGTCACCATGGCAACCGGAGGACAATGTATTCATCGCCTGGTAACGAGCGTGAGTGTAGGCAGGGGAAAAAAAACAGGTTGCTTTAAAATTATCTTTAAAAAAAAGCTAAATAGATAAATGAAGCAAAAGGAAACGTTGAACATGTTGATGATCGATCCAGTCTCTGCTTCACCCCCCACTGAGATGATGTGTAGCTGTGGGTTTAACATCAACATCTTTTCATCAGTCTACGCCGACTCAGGCTGAACTAAGCATCAGACTCTAAAAACACGAGATGAAACTTTCCTTCTAAAACTAGAAATGACAATAACAACCTAATGACCTAACGTTTGCAGCAGAACACATTGCTGCACATTTTAATGTTCCACATCTCAGAGGGTGGTGCATGACTAGTTAGCCCTGAAAGGGACATGGACCAATAGGACATGAACATGCAGGACAATGACCTGCAGGACATGGACCTGTAGGACATGAACCTGGAGGACATCGACCTGTAGGACATGGACCTGGAGAACATGAACATGGAGGACATCGACCTGCAGGACACGGACATGCAGCACAATGACCTACAGGACATAGACCTGTAGGACATGGACCTGGAGAACATGAACATGGAGGACATCGACCTGCAGGACATGGACATGCAGGACAATGACCTGCAGAACATACATCTGTAGGACATGGACCTGGAGAACATGGACCTGTAGGACATGATCATGGAGGACATCGACCTGCAGGACATGGACATGCAGGACAATGACCTGCAGAACATACATCTGTAGGACATGGACCTGGAGAACATGGAC